TGGTACACCTAGGACTGTCACGGTTGTAGGAAGGCATCTTGCTATTGATGAGAGTCAGCCATATGGGGAGTCATAGCAGCAGCAGCCCTAGCCAGCAGAGCAAACTCAGGAGCATGAGCAGGTCGAGGAGGCCGAGGAGACCGAGCAGGCACCCCAACCACAGCTACGCCGCTCTAGTCGTACCCGTGTTCCAGTCTCACCGAGGCCACCGACACAGCGGAGGGGATCACGTCCACCGCCTAGACCACAGAGTCCGCCTCCAGTGACCCACCTTGACTTGAGGGCCGCCACAGCCAAGCAGGTTCAGCAACTGAGGTTTGTAGAGTTTGATGTGTGGTTTCCTCCGAGGAGGGATGAGAGAGCATATGAGGGATTCTACACACAGCTCCAAGAAGATTTCTACAATGCATATTTGAATAATGGAGCAGTCTTCAGATCTCAGAGAGTCTGCAGCATTGAGGCTATAGCAGCAGCAGCTGGAGAGCATATTTGCCCCTACCTTGCATATCTGCCGGGGCTGATAGATTTGATTGGACAGACAGGACTATATATTCCATCGTGGGTTCGTCAGTTCTATGCTTCTCTCTTTGTTGACCCGCACCATAACTTTATTCACTTTGCATTCTGAGGCAGAGATTACAGACTGACAAGTCAGAGGGTCAGGGAGATACTGAGGCTACAGGAGCAGCTAGTCAAGTTACATGAGGTCTGTTATGGACAGACAGAGCCTCCCAGGCGTCCTCATAGTGGTTTGGTGCCCTTACAGATCTTGTGCGACACTGCTTCAAGGAGCCTTTTGGCGAGGGCTCACGCAGGAACCCCAGTGATCTTACTCCGACTGCTCGAGTTCTAGAGGCTATTATGAGGAGGACACTATTTCCCAGGATGGGATACAGGGAGGGCCTGACACGTATCTAGCTATGGCTTCTCAATGCCCTGATGCAGCAGACAGTGTTTGATGTTTGGGATCTTCTTCTATCTGAGATGGATGACACGATAGCTGAGGGCTTCAAGGGTCACAGGCAGCTACCCTATGCTCACTGGATCACTTTCATTATCCTCAAGGCAGTGACAGTTAGGTCACCAGAGATGGTTGCAGAGAACAGAGGTGCCACCACCGAGTTTCCTGCTTATAACATGGCACAGAGGATCAGGCATAGCATGCCACAGACACCTAGTCAGCCTCGCCATCGTCTAGATATACCAGAGTCTATAGCTCAGCAGGATGAGATTATTAGAGGCATAGCAGCTACTGAGGAGGAGCAGCTTGAGGCACAGCAGGAGGTGAGCGAGCCTAGTGACAGCTCAAACAATGACTACCAGCCTATTCCTCAGATGCCTCCATGTAGACATGATGTAGAGGCCCGCAGTTCCAGCTCCGCTCCACCTGCACCGTAGACGGACCCCGCTTTGATTGCTATCCTTGAGCGGATGCAGCAGGATCAGGCTAGACAGGCTCAGGAGACCGCTGCCAACTTTGCACAGTTTTAGGCTCGTCAGGACGAGTTCCAGTGACAGCAGCAGGTCCTCCAGCAGCAGCAGTAGATGCATCAGCAGTAGTTACTCATGCAGCAGTAGCTTTTGGGATTCATGCAGCATGTAGTGACAGCCATTGGGGCCCTACAGCCATAGCCTTCGCCCCTGATTGGTCAGCCTGCTACCACTATGACGACTCCAGCAGTACAGCCCTGTGGGCTTCAGAGTCAGGGATAGCCTCCAGCTCAGTTTGCTTCTCCCACAGTACAGGTGTTCCAGTGGTTATCCTCGCCAGTGGTAGCCCCGCAGTTCACACCATTTCAGACGGGCTTCACACCGAATCAGTCATCCTCGCTATTTGTGCCTGACACGTCAGTCTCCAGGAGTCTTGGAGCATCTTTTAGCAAGTTGACAGGGATGCCTACACCGCCACATATGCATGCCCTAGGTCCTTCTACAGCAGCTCCCGTCACCATGACTACTCAGAGGCTCCCTTCTTCTGTCGTATCTTCAAATCCTACGACAGACATACCAGCGGCATCACAGGCAGCACCTGCCCCAGCTTAGACCTAGACCGCTTCAGCGATGCTTCCAGCCACAGAGGGTCAATCAGTACAAAGCTCAGGGTTAGAAGATGATGGCGCCCAGTTCTAACTTGCTTCTCGTACCTCAACGCCTGGCTCGTCCGCTGCAGCCCCGCCGACCGACCCTTAGGTTTTGGTGTTTGACGCCAAAGGGGGAGAGGGATCGAGTATGATAGATTTAGGGGGAGCGACGTATCTAGGGGGAGCTTAGTTATCTTCTTAGCTTATATATTACATTTGGAGTTTTTATGTGTGATACACTATTATGCATTCATCGTGTGTTTACTTTCATGCATTGAACTATATATATGTGATAGTAATATCTACGTGACCGTGATATATGACATGTGTGCTCTCTACTTTGATTTATTTATATGTCATATCACTTGTGTTATGCTCATTTGCCTTTGCTTCCACGTTTTACTCCGATGCAAATGAGCTTTATTACTTGTACTCATGCTTATTTCATATCTTTTGAGTACATCATGTTGGCTTGGTTCATATAAGCTTGACTAACACCTTTGTTCTTATTGACAAAAGCTTATATGATCCAAGCATGTTAAAAACCTCAACTCTTTCACATACTCGAGGTGGTATTGTCATCAATCACAAAAAAAGAGAAGATTAAAAGCATCTAGGCCCCTAGTTGGGTTTTAGTGATTAATGACAATACAAGATTACTATGACTAACGTGTGTTTTGTAGAGGCAATTAAGTTAGGTCATAGTAATGGAGATCAATTGGGCAATCAAGGTGGCCATGCCCCTACGATGGAAATCGTTTTGGTTTTCAGAGAATGGACGACAAGGTTAAGGATGACTAGTTCTAAGTGTCGATTGGAGTTGAAGAGACACTTAGAGTAGTTTAGGACTTTATTTTTCCTTTGGCCGTACTATTAAGGGGGGTATGGACGGGTAGCTTGACCTAGATGAGTCTAGTGAGTTAGGTGTGGTGCACACTTGTCAAAACTAGCGCTAGGTAGCTCCTACATATGTTTAAGATCCTTTGAAGCAAACTTCATTCACATATGATCGTGAGTTGGAAGTGAATGTAGGGTCAAATACTAACCGGACGCTGGCTTCGGTGTGACCGGACACTGGCGCAAAGTCCGATCAGTTCATTTGATCGAGGTGAAAACGTTCGGTGTGATCGGACGCTGGAAGGTCATGTGACCGGGCGCTGAGGGCCAACGTTCGGTCGTTTCCAGTAAGGTTCCAGAGAGGGAAAATTGTGACCGAACGCGTCCGGTCAGTGCTCCGGTCACACTGTAAACACTAGAGTTCGGGGTGTACTGACCGGAGTGTCCGGTCAACATGACCGGACTGTCCAGTCATCCTGCAGAGGCACATAATGGTTCGTTTTTCAGTCCTTGTTATAAATAGAAGATCCACTCGTGTGTGGAGTTACTTTTGCTCATTTCAACAGCTGAAACACACCTTAGAGAGTGCCAAGAAGAGTAAGGTCCTAGTGAGGTGATTGAGATTTAAGAATCCCAAAGAGAGTCATCATTAGTGAGATCAAGAGTAGCAAAGTGTGTATCCACCCTTCTCTCTAGGCTTGTCGTGGTCAAATGAGAGTTCGTGCTTGTTACTCTTGGTGATCGCCATCACCTAGACGGCTTGGTGGTGATTGGAGAGCTTGGTGATCATCCGGAGAGCATGTGAATGACCCAACTCAAGTTGTGAGCGGTTGTGGGTGATTCACCGCGACGGAGTGTCAAAGAATCAACCCGTAGAGAGCATTTGAGCCTTGCGCGGATCAAGGGGGAGCTACACCCTTGCGCGGGTGCTCCAACGAGGACTAGTGGGGAGTGGCGACTCTCCGATACCTCGGTAAAACATCGTCTCGTTCCTCCTTCTCTATTTACTTTGAGCATTTACTTTAAGTATTTCCTTTGAGCAATTAGTTTGAGTATTTACATTGAGCAATTCAATTCTTGTCTTTACAATTCATAGAATTGTCATGCTAGAGTAGGATTGGAACTTAGGTTACGAGTCATTTGTGTGGTAGAACAACTAGAAACACTTTTTAGATATAAGGGGTTAATTGGGTTAACCGTAGAATTTAATTATTACAAAGAAATTTAGAATTAGCCCAATTCACCCCTCCTCTTGAGCATCTTGATCCTTTTATGTTGCAATGGTTTTACAAATGCGTTTCAGGTGTGTTTTTCAAGTGTTCTATGAGCATGTTTCAAGTGTTTCAACTGTCTTCATACGTATGTTGCAACAGTTGTATTTGGATGTTTTAAAATTAAATCTGGTGTTTACATCTCTTCTCCTCCCACCTTCTTTTGCATCGTCTCGCCCGGAGTTGACACGGTATCCATACGAACGAGGGATGGACGAAGGACGAGGGATGAGGGAGCTGCGTGAATCGGACGCAAGCGAGGGTGGACGAACGCTGCCTCTGGAGCGGAACGGGCGCTGAGCAGAGCGGGCTGCGTACGTCGCGGTTTAGGAGAAGGGCGTAGACACGTTGTTACGTGGACGCAGCGGGCTCTTATGTTGCGCTGGTGCAGTCTACGTGAGGGGCGTGGAGACGTCCGTGTGCTAGGCTTACCGATAAAAAAAAATCGTGTCCTCGCATGAGGCTTGACGCCACGAGTCCACGACGGACCCGTGCAGCCGGAGTCGCAGCCGCAAAGACCAAGGCTAGGAGCCTGGCCAAAAGCGCGAGCCCGTTATCCCAGGACCCAGCCATTGCCACGCACGCGGACCGTGCGCGCCGCGCACCGAAGACGTCACTGAAGCTCTCGAGCCGCGGGGCGGAATCGATCGGGACTCGGGCGAGGAAGACGAAGGCCGAAGGCCGAAGGAGCAGCGACGGGAATCCCTGACCTGCTTGCTCGCTCGCTACAGCATCAGCAACGCTCTCACCTTGCCTGGCCTCGCAGTGCCAAACTGCCAACCGAAGAGAGGCGTGTGTGCTGGTGGTGGCAATGGCGGCGAGGAGGGCGGCGCTGCTCGTCGCTGTCCTCCTTCTGCACCAAGCGGTGTCTTCGCTTGCTGGGTACGGCCCTGGATCCGTCACAACTGGTTTCCAAAATCCGACTCTTTATCGGGGGTTCTTCTTTTCGTGTTCTTGGAATTCGCTCTGTAGTCTGCACGCGCGTTCGTTAGTAGCCTACTAGCCTCAGATCAATCTGTTGGCGAAAATCGCATCTTGCTCAAGGGTTTCAGGTCGATGACGAAGTTCATGATTTACTGCTCAAAATCTCTTTTTTACGGTTTAGCTAGCTAGTATTTTTCCAGTTCCTGGAGTCCTGATTGCTCAAATTCTGAATAAATTTCCTCTCCTCCGTAACGATGTTTCAGTGTTTCACAGTATTACCTATAAGCATTGATGAGTTTTGTACTGATCATTCTGATGATCCATTTTTGTATGCAACCAATGGAGTAGAAAGTGCTACTATGAAATACTGCAAGTGTCAAAGGGTGCGTCAGAGGAACAAATCAAGAGGGTCTACCGCAAGCTTGCTCTGAAATACCACCCTGACAAGAACCCCAACAATGAGGAAGCCGGCAGGCGGTTTACCGAGATCAACAATGGTATGTAGTATGTACTAGTACTTCAGAGAATATTTTTGAGTGATCATACTACCAGAGAATGGAACATTCCTGACGGTTCCAATATTTCCTGACCGTAGTGACTAGTGCGGTTTCATCTTGCAGCCTACGAGGTCTTGACGGATCAGGAGAAGAGGAAAGCCTATGACTGGTACGGTGAGGAGGGTTTGGAGCAATTCCAAGGCAGGCACAATGATGGTGATGGTGGTCATGCTATGAACATCGAACACGTGTTTAGCAAGTAAGTAGAAAATTGCATGTTATATTAAATGTTTTTTTTACATCAGCTTATTTTGACAACTAAATATAGAGAGTGAACTGTACGTGAACACAAACTCTCTCTACGAAGCATACATTATTGTCACAACATAGAACTAAAAACATGATGCAAACCATATTTCATAATTTATTAATACACTCTTTTTTTCAACTCAAACTAGGTTCCCTTACTTCAATGAGACCTAACCTCTTTCCAAAAGGAATGAGAATTTTGGTCTTATCTTAACTAAGACATTATTAGCCTTGTATGTTATGGCAAGGTAAAAGCGCATGTGGTTGGCCTGCAAAAATTAAGTAAATCTCAATTGTTTTGGTTGGGTCCATAGATTTTTGAAAACTGAGGATTTATTAGAACGTCAAGCTTGATGCTCCTGACCAACTTATGTTGTATATATGTGAACTTTAGGATTTAGTATATTGAGATGTACCATTTTAGTACGTAGAACCATGTGACATCTTCAATTCATTCTTTAGCAGTTTAGCTGATGGATGCCATTGATTCAAATGTGCTGCGCTGTGCTGTAGATGAAGTTAGTCAGTATGGAATATGAAAAAATTATCACGATTTTATTTGAAAGATCTTAAAAAGATGCCTGTCAAGTCTATGCTGCTTGCTGCAAGTTCTAGGCTGTCAGAGTTTGGTGCTGCAAAGTACAGAATGCAGCTATGTTATAAATTGGTAGTTCATGTCTGGTTGTACTTGTCCTTTCTAGGTGTTGTGCTAACAATAACAATGAACAAAGTTGCAGATGTACAATTGTGCATTCCTGTTATAGACGCAAGTGTAATTATTCATTACAAAGAATTCATTCATTGTGAGAAAATCAAGTTCCTGCTGAGGAGGGGATGGCCGGCTGAGGGAAAAAGGAAACGTTGTTTCATCGAAAACAACGTGGCGAGAAATGATGACGCGGTTGGTGTTGAGGTCGAGACACCGATAGCCTTTGTGATCCGGTGAATAACCAAGGAAAGCACCGAGGGTGGAGCGGGGGGCAAGCTTGTGAGGAGTGGTGGCAGAAAGGTTGGGGTAGCATGTGCACCCGAAGGCACGAAGATCATGTTTAGAGTTTTGGTGGGAAGGCGATTGATGAGATAGGTGGCAGTGGCTAGAGCATCAGCCCAGTAAGAGGGGGGCATGGAAGCTTGGAAGAGGAGGGTGCGTGTGATGTTATTGACGGTGCGAATCATGCGCTCGACTATCCCGTTTTGCTGGGAAGTATAGGGGCACGACATGCGGAGAGTGATGCTGTGAGCAAGAAAGAAAGCACGAGAGGCGGAGTTGTCAAACTCGCGACCGTTGTCACATTGGACTGATTTAATGGTGCAGCCGAATTGGGTAGACACATGAGCGAAGAAATTAGAAATCGTGGGGAAAGTATCGGACTTAGCGCGAAGGGGAAAAGTCCAGAGGAAATGGGAGCAATCATCAAGAATAACTAAATAATATTTGAAACCAGAGACACTAACAACAGGAGATGTCCACAGGTCACAATGGATTAAATCAAAATTCTTGGCTGCTCTAGATAGCGAAATAGAAAAAGGGAGACGAATATGACGCCCAAGCTGACAGGCGTGGCAGAGGGAGTCATCTTCAGGCCTGCTGCAGACAATGGAGGAGGACCGTGCAAGGGACTGAAGAGTGGCCTTGCCGGGGTGACCGAGGCGCCTGTGCCAGGTGGTTGGTGAAGGAGTGGCGACAAGGGCGCAGGAGCCAGTGGTGGATGAAGGGAGCTGAAGAGTGTAGAGAGGCCCCGTGCTGTTACATCGGAGGAGGGTGTTCCGGGTACGAAGATCCTTCACAGAAACACCAAGAGGGTCAAACTCGACAAAAACACAATTGTCAGTAGTGAATTTTCGAACCGAAAGGAGATTTTTGATAATGTCGGGAGCTACAAGGACATTGTCGAGGCGAAAAGGTCCAGGAAGGACAGAATAGCCGGTGCCAATAACAGGGAGGGTGGCCCCGTTGCCTACGACAATGGAGGAGGGAAAGGAAGAGAATGGTGTAGCGGTGACCATACCAGGGTTGGCGGTGATGTGGGAGGAGGTGCCCGAGTCGATCACCCAATCCGAGGAACTCGGTGGTGGGGTGAGGAAGACTGTGCTGAAAGCGCTAGCGAGACCCTCAGGCGTCCAGGGCGCCCAAGCAGGAGGTGCCTGAGGGGGCTGCGGGTAGTAGGACCCGGAAGCCGGTGGTGGAGAGAAGTATGCCGGTGGCACGCCGGCCACCAGAGCCTGTTGCAGAGGTGCAGGCTGGACTGCACGTGGTGGAGGGCCACAGGCGCCGCCGGCGGTGGACCCTGGCCACATGTGGATAGAGCTGGTCCAGGGGTTGAGCAGCGAGGGCCACTGTGGTGTGGCTGGTGCAGTCCCGCCCTGTGCACTGCTGTGGGAGCCGCTAGAACCGCGCCCACCACGGCGGCGTCGGCCGCGGTTGCCACTGGAATGCTGTCCAGCAGCAGCATGATGGCACAGTGGCCTGATGATGGTGTGGAGGCGCAGGCGAGGACGAAGTGGGTGGCCTGATGGAGGGCGCGGCGACGAGAGCCGAAGGAGAGGCAGAGGGCGTCCCCATGTTGAGCTCGGCCAAACGGAGGTCAGCACGAACATCGGCGAAGGACGGGAACGGCCTCTGGCGGGTGACGAGCTGGGACATGAACTGAAAACGTTCATTGAGACCCCGTAGAACGTTCAGCACCAGAGTTCGGTCCTGGATGGGCTCGCCGAGGTCGGCGAGGGCATCCGCCATGCTCTTCATTTTGCGGCAGTAGTCATCGATGGAGAGGGCATCTTGGCAGAGAGTGCGAAACTCGGCGTCGAGGAGCATGGCGCGGGACTCGCGATTGTTGAGGAACTGCTGTTCAATCCCGAGCCATGTTGTCCGGGAGGTGAGGCCGTCGTGCTCATGGATGACGTCCAGGAGGTCGTCGGAGATGGTGTTGAAAAGCCAAGAGAGGACGACGCAGTCCATGCGTGACCACGCCGGATCGTAGGGGCGGGAGTCGTCGCCGAGGACGTGATCCTTCAAGGCGAAATGGCCGAGGATGAGGAGGACGTAGCCGCGCCACTTGGAGTAGTTGGAGGATTGAAGATCAAGAACGATAGGGATGAGGTTCTTGATGTTCTGGACGGCAGCAGCTTGAGTGTGGAGGTGGGCGATGGCCGCTGCTTCAGAGGAGGCGGAGTGGACGTCGTCATCCTCAGGATCGGTGTCGTTGTCCGGATGCTCGGAGCAGAGGCTATCCCGGAGGGCCGCGGCCTGTTGCTCCAGGGTATCTGCCTGCGCGCGCTCTTTGTCAAGAGCAGCAGCAGCGGCGCGAACACGCTCCTGGGCGGCGGCAGCGGACTTGAGAAGGGCAGCTTCTTCCTCGAGCTGCTGGTTGCGCTCTGTGTTGGTGGAGCGCAGAGAGGAGGCCTCATCCTCCAGGTGCTTGGTAGCAGAGAGGGCTTCGTCGCGGAGCTTGGTCGCGTTAGCCATGGCGGAGGATCTGGAGGTGGCCATGGGCGCGCGTAGCAGCCTGGGGTGGGTGGAGTGGGAGCGGAAGCAGAAGGATCAATGGTTTAGTCTGATACCATGATAGACAATAGCCTAACAGGCTTGGATTCCTTGAATAGAGTTTACAGAAGAGATTACATATATAAAGAGAGGAGGAGGGTGACCCAAAGGGCCAGCCGAGTCCCAAGAGGCCAGCCGAACCCCAAGGGGCCAGCTGGGCATTAACTCAGCACAGCTAGCTAGGAGATTAAAGCTAGGAGATTACACAAGTAACTAGGTGATTAAAGTAAATAGCAATATTAATTCTAACAATTAACATGCCATTGGGCAGATATACCTTGTTATGGCTAACTTTTTTTGTTTCATCTTTACTTGAATGCAACTCAATGTTGAAAGAAAATGTTTCACTGTGTTTCTACTGGACCCAAATCTTTTAGATATCTCCCCTCAGTAACGATTTTCTTGTTTTGTTTCTAAAAAACAGTTTTTTTGGTGGTGGAGGTATGGAACAGGAGGAAGAACGAACTTTAAAGGGTGATGATGTCATTGTTGAATTGGATGCTTCGCTAGAGGACTTGTATATGGGTGGTTCCTTAAAGGTAACAACGGCTTGCAACATTAAAGTGTCGTGATAACATTTTTTAATGCATTCTTCAAGTAGCTTGAGATTTTAGTTGAAATGGTTTGCGCTTATGGCCTCTTATAATTATTTGCTTTGACTGGTATTTGATTGGTGCACGATAGATTTGGAGGGAGAAAAATGTTATAAAACCAGCTCCTGGCAACAGGCGATGCAAATGTAGGAATGAAATTCGTCAATGAGAAATTGCTCCTGGAGTTTTTATCAAATCAGAGAGCAGGTAATTTCTAATGTGGTAATAGTTCTATATTAATATAATGGAACATGTGTCGATGTGTTTCTTGTTTCATCTTGTCATGGTTTTCATGATGAAGAACATTATCTTCAATTTTTCATTTTGAAGGATGGTCATATATGATCCAGTTACTATAGCTGGCTTGCTAAACTCTGCAGTAACATGAGGATACATTTTTGTTTTCCAGGTTTGTGATACATGCCCAAATGTGAAGTACATAAGAGAAGGGGATTTCATTAGTGTTGATATTGAAAAGGGGATGCAAGATGGACAGGTAGAAAGCAACTGTGTTATTTGTTTCTTCCAGTGATCTATCTGTAATGGTTGACGTCCTGCAAACTTTTGTAACAACATATCTGAACAGTGAACACCCTGGTTTCCGCTTCTTTACACTGGCAACATTCTTTTCCTTCTTTTCTTGCGATAAACAACAGAATGTTATGCATAGGGCCCCTTTTCCGAGACCCAGACAAAATAGCAGTGTACAGCCAAGAAACTGATTTTGGTGAACCACCGGCAGTGACTGAACTATAGTAACTTCAGAATTTTAAGAACATTGGAACTACAGAGCTCTGCTGGAACTTCAGTATGAGCTAGAATTTTGAATATAATATGCCATGGACATCATCACAAGAATTGGTTAAGCTCATTCTCTAGGGCATGCTGAATTATGGATGCCGGCACTTTTTGTTGATTTCTTTTTTTTCCCTTGAACTGGTAGGAGAGCTCCATGTCTTTAGATTAAGAAGAACGAATTTGCTTGATTTCTCATTATGGATGTCTCTAATAAATTATCTCTTCTGCTTTCAGGAAATTTTATTTTACAAGGATGGTGAACCTAAGATTGATGGAGAGCCTGGTGATTTGAAGGTTGCTATCTTTTTATACATACTACGGTAAGGAATGATCAGCTTGGCATCATTTCTTTCTGACAAATTCACTTGCTGAGCAGTTTAAAATTCGGATAGCACGGTATGAGCGCTTCAGAAGAGAAGGCAACGACCTACACACAACAGTGGAAATCTCAGTGGTACTGTTCACTCAATCTTGTTTCCTCGTTAACAGTGCTACCTAGGCAGAAATTACTAATTATACAGATCTACCCCTAAGGGTCTTTTTGATCGAAGAAGGTCTGATTGTACTGAGAGAACCAAATCAGTTTTTTGTGCTTGTTCTTAGATGAAGATTGTGCTAGATTTTAAGCCAATGCATTAATTCAGCTACAAGTCAGATAGGGGTCTTGAGTACATTCTGAAGTAGGAAATACAGCTAAAGAATAGTGTCCTTTTTTTTTTTATTGCGGATTCTTTAGTGTTGCTGAAGGCTTACTAAGTATGAACCACGAGCCTCAGTCATTCCACCAGACCAGAGTTAGGCATCCGTTAGTTTAGGCAGCCTAGAGCAACTTCGCCAATTATCACTGTCTCTTCCATTTCTCATGCTTTTACTCTTACATTAGATCTGTTATCAACCACTGAGCTTTCAGCTCTCTTGCAGTCAGAAGCTCTTGTTGGATTTGAGAAGAACGTAAAGCACCTTGACAACCATGCCGTGGAAATCGGGACCATGGTAACTTGGCGGTGATTTTGAGTTTTGTACCCTGCAAGAAATTATCTTGTGTGAAAATGCAAATGTGCAATACATAGACTTTGCCCATTGACACAAAATTTCAGGTGATCACGAAACCAAAAAAATGTCAGGAAGTTTGAAGGAGAGGGCATGCCACTGTACCATAGCAACGAGAAGGGAGACCCTGTACGTCATTTTCGCGGTAGTCTTCCCTAAAGACCTAAAGGATGATCAAAAGGCCAAGCTGATGATCATTTTTACTTGACCACCATCAAGTTCAGTTGCCAAGAGCATAGGTAAACATGCCAATACCAGCATGAATGTGTTTTATTTTTTAAGTGTTGTTGCCTACAGGTTGACAAACGTAGAAAGTGGATGCATGTGTATATCTGTAAATTGTCTGGCAATTTTACTTTCAACTTCCGCCAGCAATGTTCATGAGTTGTCTGTTTCAACACAACCAAAAAGTCTGCACTTTTTTACATTAAGATGTGTTGAAACAGCAACCTTTCATCATCACTGAGTAGGGCATACAACCATAGCAGCAACTGTAAGGAAAGTAACGAAAATTTGTACCAGAAAAGTTACAAGTCGATGCCAACAATTGTCCGACACATGCAGTGCATTGTACAACTAGTTACTGTAACATGCAGATTGTACAACTAGGAAGACATCATATGTTAGTCGTAGCCAGCGTCTCTTCATCCACGTCAAAAGCTTTCCTTGCTTGCTTGAGCTCTTCATTCATGGACAGTAGCACAGTAGCACGGTGCAGTTTTCGTAAATCCTAAAAAAAAAACAGACTAAAATGTGAGCTGCACTGCAAATAAGCAAGGCAATCAAATGTGGGGCCAGACTGTGTACCTTGCGTATAAGATAAAGAAAATCCTCTGTCAGGAGCTTCCCCCTCTTTGAGGCAACATTCTGCGCCTTGTGCACCTGAGAAAGGGGCATTATGAATCCACTGAATGATGAAGGTGCAAATAACAGTATAAACTATATGCCAGATGTGTCTGTGATTTATCCATCTAATGACTCACAGGAACACTTGCACAGTGGTCATCTACTGCATAATAGTTATTTCCAACACATAATTTGAAGCACATGAATTTGCTCAATAGTCAAAAGTAAGTGGGGGTGTATGGATGGTAAATGGGGGAACGACTCAAGTGTTAACTAAACTGCCTATAATTTCCATACGCCCAAATCATGCATGAATAAACATAATGCATATTGCAAAAGAATCAAATAGACAAATCTGGGCTCCATGTGACATAATGCAAGTTATCAAATGGACAAATCAGGGGCCCATTTGAAACAAATAAACTTTTAATAGAAGTTGGCGCAACAGTTTATTTGTTTCAAATGGGCCCCTGAGTACGATAGAGGGAGAACTATCAACTTGGACACCCTTGGCAGCCCTGGTTTTGATCTTGAAACTTTGGATTCGCCTCTCTCAGAAGAAGTGTGGAACACCATAAAGGGGATGCCGCCTGATAAGGCTCCTGGACCGGATGGGTTCACTGGCAGGTTTTATAAAAGTTGTTGGGCAGTTATCAAGAATGACGTCATGGCAGCACTTCATTTTCTTTGGACCGGAAATTTTAGAAATCTCAAAAAACTGAATTCTGCATACATCACTCTGATTCCAAAAAAGACCAATGCTGTTCAAGTCAAGGACTATAGGCCAATTAGCTTGGTTCACAGTTTTGCCAAACTTGTGACCAAAATCTTGGCTAATAGGCTCGCTGATCGGCTAGATGAGTTGGTGTCCTCTAACCAAAGTGCTTTCATTAAAAAGAGGTTCATTCAAGATAATTTCATGATGGTCCAGCAGACAGTTAAATTCTTACACTCTCACAAGCAGCCTAGAATCCTCCTGAAGCTTGACATTACCAAAGCTTTCGACTCTGTGTCTTGGGCCTTTCTTTTGGAGGTGCTTAGAAAATTGGGCTTCGGCAATCGCTGGTGTGACATGATCTGTGGCATCCTATCATCTTCATCAACCCAAGTCCTCTTGAATGGCATCCCAGGAGAAGGTATTCTGCACAGAAGGGGTCTAAGACAGGGAGATCCGCTATCCCCTATGCTCTTTATTCTTGTTATGGATGTATTAAATCAGATGTTCACAAGGGCTGCTGAAGTGGGGCTGCTACAACCTTTATCAAGGAGGCCTATCCAGCATAGAATCTCCCTATATGCCGATGATGTAGCCATCTTCCTTCAGCCTAACGCAGCAGATATCAACTTGTCCTTACAGCTACTGGATTTATTTGGTGATGCTTCTGGCCTTAGGACCAATGTTCAAAAAAGTAATGTGCTGCCAATCCATTGTGCTGAGGAAAATTTGGACCTTATTCAGAATTTGTTGCCCTGTGAGATGCTGGATTTCCCTTGCAAATATTTGGGGCTGCCACTGACCATCAAGAAGCTGACTAAGCAGCAGGTCCAACCCATCATCGACAAAATTGCAGATCAGCTTCCTGGGTGGAAGGCTGATTTGTTGACCAGAGCGGGCAGAGTTATTCAAGTGCAGTATGTTCTCACAGGAATCTTGATTTATGTGGCCATGGCAACAGATCTCCCACCTTGGGCTCTCAAAGCAATTGACAAGATCAGAAGGGCCTTCTTGTGGAGAGGTCGAAAAGAGGCAAAGGGTGGTCACTGTCTCATTGCCTGGCCTAGAATTTGCCGCTCACGCGAACTTGGTGGCCTTGGGCTTGCTGATCTAAAGGCTTTGAGTATTGCTTTAAAAGCGCAATGGCCGTGGCTCAAGCGGAGTGAGCCCAACAAACCGTGGGCAAATCTACCTATCCAAGTCAGTACAGAGGTAGCTGGCCTCATCTCCGTGGCTGTAATAACTGAAGTTGGAAATGGGTCTAATACACTCTTTTGGAAGGACAAATGGATAAGTGGCAAAAGTCTCCAGGACATCGCACCTCTAATATATGCATTGGTTCCTAAAAGAAGGTCAAGTACACGTACTGTGGCGGAAGCTCTAACGGGGGAAAAATGGATAGAGGACATACAGGGTGAGATCGGTTCTACTGCCTTGTTCCAGTATCTTCACCTCTCAGATATTCTGAATGTTGTGGAGCTAAATGAGGAAGTTCCTGATAAGCACATCTGGAGGCTATCTGCTTCAGGAAAATATACAGCAAAGAGCGCCTACGATACGCTCTTTCAGGGTGCAGTCGCCTTTGAACCTTATGAAAGAGTATGGAAATCTTGGGCTCCACCCAAATGCAAATTTTTCATGTGGCTTGTCGCTCATAATAGATGCTGGACAGCGGACAGATTGGCAAAGAGGGGGCTCCCTCACCCAGATCAGTGCCTTCTATGTGATCAAGAGGAGGAGGACATTCACCATCTTCTTGTGGGCTGCGTTTTCTCAAGAGACTTCTGGTTCTCCCTCCTATCTCGCTTTGGTTTCGCAGCACTTGCTCCTCAGCCTTCCGACCAATCCTTTGATAATTGGTGGAGAAAAGTTGACAGTGCTGCTAGTGGAGACTTTAGGTTGGGATTGAACTCTCTAGTCATTCTGGGAGCCTGGAGTATCTGGCGGCATAGAAATGATTGTGTCTTTAATGGGGCAACCCCAAATGTTAACTTGGCTCTGGCTTTGGCTAGGGAGGAGGCGCATTGGTGGAGCATGGCAGGAGCCAAGGGACTTTCCATGCTCACTGCTGGAGGTTCAGCCTAAACGACTGATGTAGGGTCGTCTTGTTGGTCTGTCTTATCTGGTGATCTAGTGTCTGTGTAATGGCAAGGGGTGTGTGTGGGGTTTGGGTCTATGTATGACTCTTTTTTCTTCTATTAATACAATGATACGCAGTTCTCCTGCGTGTTCGAGAAAAAAAAAGTTGGCGAAACAAGGTTCCGAAACATTCAACAAAGCCCTGATTCAACTGCTTGATGTGAACAAATTCATGTGTAGTGTAAATTCCAATCTTAAGCACAATGCAGAAGCAACAGCAACTACCAAAGTTTAATGTTGAAAGATATAATTTGTGAGATAAACGTGCAAGTGGGCACAACATAGATTAGTGGAAACTTGATACCCAGCGACACACTGAGAACCTACAAAGTTAATTTACATTAGGAAACTAGCATAAGCTTTAGATATTGTACAAAATGGGCACACTGCATATGAACACCACAAAAAAAAAATCTCAAAGCATAGCCCATAATGACATCACGAAGCTATCAATTGAGGCAAACACAGTGGTTCAAAAAAAGCTTGTCTTTCAAGAACACCAGAACATGGAGTTCAAGAAGGTAATAATTATTGAATGTTGAAACAGGAATAACATTTAACATTCAGAATCATTAAAAACAGGGTCAATCCCTTTTTTTCTTTCCATTCACATAGCTTTACAATCAGTACAAGTAGCACCTGAGCAGACATAGCACAGAAGATAGAATCATAGAAACGCAAAATAAGCTTACCAGGTCAGTGACATATTCGACAACAATGTCCTCCACAAGTGCAACGGTTTCTGGAAGTGGCTGCAAAATCAAGAACACAGCATATGAGCGAAGAAGAATCCAATTTCTGTTTGTAAGGAAAAACCATGTGCCTCTTTCTTTACATGTATGTTATTAAAGAATCATACGTAAGCATTGCACATTGAAGGTTCAATGCATATTATCATCAGTACCGCATAATGCTTTGGATCATCACTTGCAATGTAAATTACTGCTCTGAACTACATAGATTGGCTTATTGCTCGCAGCATATATCTTTAAAATAATAAATTAAGGAACTAAACAGGAAATTGTTCAGTAAACTCACATTTGGATCATCCCCAAAGCCATACATCATGTGCTGCACTGCAAGGACGTCAACAAAAATTATACAACACATAAAATTGAGGATAAGCAGCAACTGAATTGAATGCCTAAATGACAGAACACCAAGCAGGGAGTAAGCGTCCCGTACGGTCTTTCTGGAAGACGCCGCGCTTGCGCTTGAGGGTGGTGGCGGACGCGTCGGCGCCGCCACCACCACCGCCACCGCCACCGCCGGCAGAGTGGTGGTGGGAAGAGGAGCCCTGGCCCGAAGCCGCGGCCTGGGCCGCCGCCGACTTGCCCTTGGACGGCGTCCCCGACGGCGCCGGCGTCGCGGCGTGGTGGCCGCTAGGGTTCGGCGCCGACGACTTGCCCTTAGACGGCGCCGACGACGGGGCGGCCGTCGCGGGGTGGTGGCCGCTAGGGTTCTGCATCTTTGCGGTGTCTGGGGTGCGTCGGAGGTCGAGGAGAGCAGCGGAGGGCAGAGAGGACGGCTGCCTTCGCTTCTCGGCCGGGGTAGCCGGGAGGATGCCGATTTCCGCGAACAAGAGGGGAATAGCACGAAGCGCGTCAGTCGGCTCGCAAATTGCAGCACTGGGGCCCTCAGTTGAGGGTGAGAGCGACAGCGAGGGCCAGGGCCAGGGCTGGCGGTGGCGTTACCGGCGAGGCGGCTGGCGAGCGTGCTTGCTTTGAGAGAAGCAGAGGGGCAAAGGCAGGCGACGAGCGAAAGGCTTGCCTACTTAAGTCATGTTTAGATCACCTTAGATTATTGTAAAATCTAAATGGTTTAAGAGTGTCTATGGTATCTTTTTTTTTCTTCAAATCTAGTAATAGAAGAAGAATTGGAGTATATAGGGGATATTTGTTTCAGTAGAATTGAAAAGTGAAATTGGATTTTCAGGGAAGAGTTTAATTTGAAAAAATTCTTTCTATTGCAGATTATTTATTTTTTAATAGGATGGATTTCATCCTTTTTTTTGAGCAAACGGTCGAATATTCCCCTATTCCTATTAATTTAACTCATTGTATATTTCATATGGAATAAGAGGAGAAGAAAAACATTCCACGACCCCAATAGCCCCCTCAAAATGGGATCGAGAAAACTTATCCCCTTTATACATGACCTCTATATGTCAGTGCTAAATAAATCTATCCTCATTTTTTTTCTCTTCTCTCTTGCAGTTTCTTCGTGTATTTACAACGACGCTTGCCCTCCTGACTAGAGGCACGATGCACTGGCGGGCTACTTGGTGAGGTGCAACATAGCAGTGGTGGCCCGTCCAACATGGTGGCGCAATGCGACACTGCTCGCCCAACTCAACAGCGTGGAACCCTAGTGGTCAGCGAGAGGGGAAGAAAGAAAGAGGGTTGAGAAAAATCTTGGGTTCTTCCTCTTTATTTGAGGGATGGAAGGATTAGTTTTGTCAATTAAGAAAAAAAATAGAGAACGAGAATCTGCTGGAGTTTGATTTTTTTACCTTCGATCCACTTTATTCCTTTTATAAGAAAAAAGATAGTTTATTCCCAATCTAGTGGAGATACTCTAACCATTCTAGATTATGATAATCCAAACAGTGAATTCTAATAAATCTTATAATCCACCTCCAACCTACTAGTAGGTGATTATAGTTCGTTCAACAATAATCCAATATTGATACTAAAGGTTCCAAACAAAACATGTTATAATAAGGCCCCGTTTGGCGCACCTTCACCACCGGCACCTAGAGCTGTTTGAAGTTGTTTTGTGCCAAACGGGATAAAACCAAATAGATCCACCCAAGAAGGCCCTTAAAACCTGTTGAGACAAAGAATAGAGGGAGGGTGGAGCTGAAAATAGCTCCACCTTGCCCTGGTGGGTCCCAGCAAGGACACAAGCCCGTTTTGCCCCGTAGAGAAGAAGCGCTTGGGAGATTGACTGAGTTCACTAGGGCGTGCAGGCCGCCCAAGGGCGCACGGTTGCTAGAGCGCACGGCTACCGAGGCGCACGAGCGAGCCGGAGCGTGTGGCCGCCAGAACTGACCCACACCGGAGAAGAAGACAAGCAATGAACGTAGATGAAGAGGTGCGTCGGTCCATGCCACAGTCGAGGCGCGCGGGCAGTCGGGGCACTCATGGCTGTCAGGCACCGTAGCCAAGGCGTGTGCGGTTGAGGGGGGTGCGGCCAACTGACTCGCGGAACCACTGAGAGCATGTGGACCTACGAGGATGAAGCAGCTTGGAAGAACCAAGCAGATAAGGAGAAGAAGAAAAGGGAAAAAGAGAAAGGCACTATAGTCTTTTAGCTCGTTTGTCCACTATAAGGAGCTATATATTTTGCCAAACGGGTTAAGAAAATAGCTCCAACTCTACCGACAAAGTTGTTGATGGAGCTGAAGCTAGAAAAAAACACCTCCACTGATCAAGTGGAGCCGTACCAAACGGGGCCTAAATTAGGCCAACTTTTTTCTAACTTAATCGAAAGGCAAAACTCTAGTAAGTTGCATTAAAAAACAAAACATACTATTATAATTCATAATCTAAATTACTATAACCATAATCCACAACTCAAATTATAATAATCCAAAGTGATCTAAACAGGGCCTTAGATTATACCAATGTTGTGTGATTCGAGCACTTCATCATGAATGATGTGTGCGTTTCTCATAGTTGTATGAATTTGTGCATTTGAGTGATTTCTTTGTGCATTTGAGTGATTTCTGAGCAATTTATTCTGTTTCTATTCATGATTGCAGTCTAAATCAATGCATTTATTGTATACCTCTTGCAGGCATCAGTAAGATCAAGTCCAATAACCACATAAACAATGATGATGATGATGATGATGCAATGCACAGACAAGGGCACACTACACCAAACGCCATTGTTGTTCATACCTCAAACCAAAAATGGTTTTCATTGAATGAACACAAGGTCCAGATTGCCATAACAATGGTACCAGCATGAGAAACGATGCCCAAACTGTGTCACCATTGGTCGGCTGAGCTGCAATGGCTTTCTCCGATGATCTACCCTTTCCTACACACTGTCAAATATATGGGACATGGAAAAGGCATAGCAAAGAGAAAAACACCACACCAAGAGGAAGAGGGCACAATTAGGGGTGGAAAAAGAAATCTAGGCAAAACCTGAGCTCGAATAGACTGCGATTGAAGAGACTCAAATTTCGGATCAGGCCGTAGTTTAGTTCCAGGTAGAAGAAACCCAAACACTATATTGGTTAATCCGACTTCTTGGTTGGGTACCCAACCCGAATAGCTATCCAACTATCGATGTTTTACCACCGATAGCCTGCCACGGGGTTACCCGGGACAGTATGTTCGGGCTTCAGCGTATGCGGAACTCGACGGTGAACGCAAGAGACAGTCGATTTATCTTGGTTCAGGCCCTCGTCCGTGGTCGAGTAATAGCCCTACGTCTAGTCGACGTTAGCCCTTGCGTTGAATTGATTGCGTGTTGTTGTGTTGTATCGTCCTTCCTAGGAACCCTGCCCTCCTTTATATAGTCAGGAGATCAGAGTCCTAGTCGGTTTATAATGAGAGTTCCTAGTAGGATTATAGAATAATACTACTACTAGGATTACATGGGAAGAATCCTAGTTGGACTAGATCTTCTCCCTTCCCGGCGGGGTATCCTGTGGGTCCCGTATCGACAAGCCCCCGAGCACTTCATGGTTGAGTTCTAGAAGCCTCGTCTTGTTCCTTCAAGTCTTGCCAAGTAGAAACAAGCGTCGTTCGAGTGCTTTCTTGAGCGAAACCGTGCAGCGCTTCATGAGATCTTTAGTTGGTGTGTACTTTTTTGAAGAAAAAAGTATTCCCATTTGGGTGTAGCCTCCGAGCCTCTTGCTTTTTGGCACAAGGAGCTGGAGGGTCTTCTCTTGAAATCACTCTGATTCTTCGTCGAAGGGTTCCTGAGCATATACCCAAGTTCTTTATCAAAAAAGAGCTCGGGTATAGCTAGGTCCGGGTTCTTTTTGTCTTGATGTCTTGAAGTGATCCATCTTAAAGAAGTCTTCTTGGTGATGTGCGCTTTTTTGGAGAAAAAGTGCACTCACTGAGTGTAGCCCCCGAGCCTCTTGCTATTTGGAACAAAAAGTTGGAGGGTCTTGGATCTTATGTTGTTTTGCAACTCTTGTCTTAAAGAAGTTTTTTGAGTGATGTGCGCTTTTTTGAAGAAAAAGTGCACTCACTAAGTGTAGCCCCCGAGCCTCTTGCTATTTGGAACAAAGAGTTGGAGGGTCTTGAATCTGAGTTGTTCAAAGAACTGAAAACTTCCCCTGATATAGCCCCCGAGCATTCTTTAAAAAGAACTTGGATACAGAATCTTGGCATATCCTCTAGTAGTCTGCTGTTGTCAGATGTAGAGTCTGCTGCTTTCAGATGTAGAGTCTACTGCTTTTAGAGGTAGAGTCTGTTGTTGTCAGGTGTAGTTGTATGGTGGTGGTTGAGTGTAAATGTCTTTTGTTCACGGGTTGTACAGTGTTGGTATATTCTCCCGAATATGCTTGTTGTTGAGTACTGCTCCTTCACGCCTGAGTCTTCTTTCATTGAATTCTATCTTTTCACTGTGTCCTTTTTTGTTCCGCTGGTGCTCCTGGTCCATGTGCACTGCTTCTTTGGTCTATAAATATCCTTCTTGTGTGCTATTTTGATTCATTGAGCATTCTGTTGCGTGGTCTGAAGTCTCCGTAGTCATGAATATGATAGTTTGTGAAGTAGAGCAGCCCCTGGGCGTATTTTATAGTTCTTGTACATCTTGTCGTAGCTGGAGGAAGTCTTGTGATAGGGATTAGAGGTAGACTAATCCCGTAGTGGCATTGCTCCGAGAAGTACATGGTGGTAGCTGGAGGAAGTCTTGTGATGCGGGATGCGTTCCTTCATCTAGCAGTTCTGGGTTGATCTTCGCCGCCTGTCTTGAGACTGTCCGGTGTAGATCAACACCATATCTGGGATCACATCGGACTTGGGTAGACAGATGCCTACCGACTTCCCCTGGTCTATGTTGTCCCGCCGTGCTGCTGATTTCCACCTTGGATGCACTGCGTCCGTCCTTTGAAGAAAATAGTGTAGCCGAGTGCGGCTTGTTTTACCGAGTAGCAATTTGGAGCACGTAGTCATTCTAGAACCTAGTCGTCTCCGGGTTCCTTTTTGCTACCTTGCCTGTCATAGTACCGAGTTTGTTGGGTCTTGTAAGATGTGTAATCTTGTATCTTTTGAAGTCATTTCTAATGTAAAGAATCTTGTCTTCTGAGTTGTCACTCTTTACCCTGCTGATGTCCTAGTTGTTTTTGAGATTCCCGAGTTCTTTCTATAAGGACTGGGTTGTTATGCTCATTGTGAGGTAACCTTTCGTTGCTTCATGGCTGATGAGTTCTTTTTGTAGCAATATGATAGCTCTGCCGTTCTGCTGGATGGATAAGTTCAAAATCTGTCTGTTG